CTCTGCAGGTTACATTATTTCGCAGGGAAGTGGTGACTTTATGCAGGATAGGATTACACTGAAGTCTGTTCTTCCATTGACTGACTAGAAATAAAAACTAATTAAAACCATTTTCTCTAAGACTTTCAGCCTGTCATTTTTGGGGGCAACTGACCTGAAATTAATTAAAGTTTTTCTCATAGAATTTATCAGCAAATTGGCATATCTTACTCTACCATTTTCATTAAAGCTTAAAATTACTGGGGCCGAAGCGATAGCACAGCGGGTAGGCCGTTTGCCTTGCATGCGGCCAACCTGGGTTCGATCCCAGGCATCTCATATGGTCCCCCAATCACCGCCAGGAGTAATTCCTGAGTGCAGAGCCAGGAATAACCCCTGAGTATCGCTGGGTGTGACCCAAAAAGTAAAAAAAAAAAAGCTTAAAATTACTCCTAAAAGAGAAAAGTTTATGATATGGGTTACCGTAACAGAGAGCTAGTACTCTAGGAATTGCTGTCAGCTTGGAGATTCAAATGTTATCACAGCGTTGCAAACTAGATGGACTAGTGCAGAGATTATAATAAAATATTAGACTTGCGAATAAATCCTGCTCCCTTTTTGGATAATGCTTCCAGGGTACTTATCATATCACTCAGCCTCACGTGCTGAGCATGAAGAAATTATTGCTTTGGTTAGGTCAGTTTGAAACTTAAGAGAAGGCTTTCATAGAGTTTCCCTAGTTATTTCATAACCCAAATAAAAAATATACAAGCTGATCATGTTATGATCTTGTGCTTATGCATCTGCATACACATGTAAAACAGAAACACAAGTTTCAAAGGAAGTAGTACTCAAACTACTTTTGAGGGGCAGGAGAGATAGTACAGGGGTTAAGGTGCATGCAACTGACCTTGGTTTGATCTCCAGTACCACAGACAGCCTCTGAACAATACTGAGAGTAATACTGAGCATTGCTGATCTCCTTCCCAAACAGAGAAACAAACAAACAAACAAACAAAATACTACATTTGAAACATCTTTTATATCTTCTAATCCATTCAATCCCATTAAATAATTTTATGCCAAATTTATTTTGTAAGTAATGGCTGAGTCTTGCCTCAGTTTGCAAACACTTGTTAGAACCTAAAAGCTCACACTGCTCATATTTGTGGGAAAGAGTTGTGGTTTGAGGTTCAGTCTACCTTGCAGCTCAGTTTGATTTATTTACTCAGAACCAAACCTGTGTAAATCTCTGTGTTAGACTCTGCAGGAAATAAAAAGAATTAGGTCTTCAGCAACCTCAACAAGGAGCTTGGAAGTTGCCAGGGAAACCAGGGTGAGAAAAACGGCATATCATCTTTGCCCTCGTGACTTTATGATTTAGGAAATAAAAGAAAGCCAGAGCACAAGGAATTTGAAGAGATAAGTCTGACTAATTATGCTAAGTGAGTAAACCATTTTATCAGTATTTTCTGGGAAAAATGAGTTCTCTTACTGAGAGGGTCAATCCTGTTTCACAGATGAGAAAACGAAGGTTCAGAGAATCTGTTTTTTATCCCAAGTCATTTGAGTATAGATCAAGGTTATTCAGAATTTACATGCTACCTCTCGTGATTAGATAGGTTTGTGCTAGCAATAAAGATATTTGGAACTTAAGAGAGGAGAAAATAATTGTTATTATAAAAGTAGCTTGACCCTCAACTTTGAAAATCCTTAAGATGTGAACGTAAATTGGTGTAACCACGATCACGATCATCCTGTTGTTCATCGATTTCCTCGAGCAGGCACCAGTAACGTCTCCTTCTTCCTAGCCCTGAGATTTTAAAAGAGCCATTTCAATGCTCTTTCAGGATTAGGAGAATGAGACCCATAATTGTTACTGGTATTTGGCATATTGAGTACGACACGGGAAGTTTGCCAAACTCTGCCATGCGGGCAGGATACTTTTGGTAGCCTGCCAGGTTCTCCAAAGGAAAAATAAGATAATAAGATGTTGTGTGGCTGCACGCTTCCGGGAGCCGGGTTTTATAGTCTCTGCGTCTTGGCCGTTGATGGGACCAACCTGGCGCTGGAGGCAGCTGGTGGGTGTGACACCTACCTACTGGAAGATGGGGGGCCTAGGTTGAGAAGGCCCAGTCCCAATCCGAGTAGGCTTGGAGACCTCAGCCCCGGGACCCGCATGCCTGGGTTCCTCTGGGTTCCTCAGAGTCTCCTGCCCCCACGCCTGGCTATCCTCACCAGGGTCCCTTGGAGGGGGGAGGGTTGAGTTTCTCTCCCCCCCACCTGGTCCCGAGCAGAGCCCCAGCAGCTGAGGACCTCCAGAGCCAGCCACGACCATGCTGGGACCACTCTCCACACGTCCGGATGGGCCTCATGCATGAAAGAACTGACAGAGGAACCCAGGCATGCGGGTCCGGGGGCTGAGGTGTAACCACTTTTTAAAAAAAATGATTTTAATTGAGTCACTGTGAGGTGCACAATTACAAAGTTGTTCATAATCAGGTTTCAGTCAAACAATGATCTAACATCCTTCCCTTCACTAGTGTCCATTTCTTACCGCCTATGATCCCCTGCCGCCTGCCTCTATGGCTTTATAGCAGGCACGTTCCTTCTTTCTTCTTCTTCTTCTTCTTCTTCTTCTTCTTCTTCTTCTTCTTCTTCTTCTTCTTCTTCTTCTTCTTCTTCTTCTTCTTCTTCTTCTTCCTTCTTCTTCTTCTTCTTCTTCTTCTTTCTTCTTCTTCTTCTTCTTCTTCTTCTTCTTCTTCTTCTTCTTCTTCTTCTTCTTCTTCTCCTCCTCTTCACTTTCTCTCTCACTCTCTCTCTCTCTCTCTCCCCGCCGCCCCCTCTCCTTCTGGGCACTATTGTCTGCAACACATATACTGATGAGAGGTTATCATGTTTGTTCCTTTACCTACTTTCAGCACTCAGTTCCTATCCAGAGTGATCATTTCCAATTATCTTTGTCATAATGGTCCCTTCTCCATCCCAATTACCTTCTCTCCCAGCATTTGAGGCAGGCTTCCAACCATAGACTAATCCTCCTTGCCTTTGTCTCTACTATATTAGTCTCATATTATATTTTTTTATTCTGCAAATGAGAGCAATCATTCTATGTCTGTCCTTCTCCTTCTGACTCATTTCACTCAACATGATACTCTCCATGTCCATCCATTTATAAATGAATTTCATAACTTCCTTTTTCCCCAACTGCTGCATAGTATTCCATCGTGTAGATGTACCACAGTTTCTTTAACCAGTCATCTGTTCTCGGGCACATGGGTTGATTCTAAATTACGGCTACTGTAAATATGCTGTGATAAACATAGAAGTGCAGATGGCATTTCTACAGTGTGTTTTTGGGCCTCTGGGATATATTTCCAGAAGTTGTGTTGCTGGATCATATGGAAGCTCAATTTCTCATTTTTCAGGGAATGTCCATATTGTTCTCCACAAAGATTGGACCAGTTGGCATTCCCATCAACAATGAACACATCCTCACATCCACTCCAACACTGGATTTGGATTTCTGATATTTTACTTATTAAGCCTGGAGGTATTTCTGTAAGAGCCAGATAATTACGAGATTGGTTTCTGTGGCTCTGGAGCCATGGCCGTGCTGGACAGCCACTCATGGGGGGCAACTCGTGACCTCGGTAGGGCGTGAAGGATGAGCCAGGAACACCCCCCTTTCCATGAGGTTTCAGTTGCCCTGTCACCGCCGGCTCATGCCTGGCTTTCCAAAAAGCTCTGAGGAGGCCACCATCTTGCTGCCCGGGGGAAAAAGGCAGAAGGGAGAGACACTCCTTCCCTCCCGGGCAGGCATGGTACTGTGATTAACGCATAGTTCATTCACTTTTCTGCTGCAAGCTGCTGGTCTCTGCATTAAGTCCTTGTGCTTCTGGAGCCATGGCTATGCCAGAGAGCCACTCATGGGGGGCAACGTGTGACCTCGGTAGGGCGTGAAGGACAAATAGCTCTCAGTTTTAAAAGCACCATAAGAGGTATCCTTATTGCTCTTCCTCCCTGAGAAACTAAGCTAATTAATCTAGGGGCAAAAATAAAAACCAGTGCTTTTGAAAAGAGTGATTTCTTCCTGCGCATTTAAAACACTCTAAATAACATCTGAAAAATTCCTCATTTGGTAGTTTACTAAAATCTTATTTCAAAAACCAGGAAACAATATAGGACCTTTTCTCACTATCAAGGTAAGAAACTACAGATGATCTTCCTTCTGAAAATCTTAACTTGTTTCTTTTCATTATATTCTCACCAAATATTTCCTGAGTACAGATCCAATAGACCAGCTCCCTCTAAATTAAGAACACATTGCTGTGACTTCTAGGAAATGGAGTTTTAAAATGTAATGGTGCATTATCACTCAATATCAGAGCACAATTCAGTGGACTTCAGATGTATATTAATCCTAATTTAGTTATATCTGTGCTTCTTCTTAAATTAAGGAAATAGTTTCCTACGTGGAAAACTTAAAATCATTTAGTTCCAAAAGGAGAGTATAGTCAGATTATAGGAAAGAAGATTTTTAAAGTGTCGATCCTCAGCAGAGGATTATACAGAGGAACAGATCTTTCAGTATGTAGAGATGACTCTTGGATCTTGCAAACTGGCAATGTGAAAAGTCCATGTTAAATGCTATTTCAATCCTCTAACTTTTCTCTTCCTTAACTCTGGTGTCTGTCCACTTATTTAGACTATTTGATTCATAAGACTCTCCACCTGGAGTTCTAACTTTAGGATCCATCAAGGTAAAGATTCAATATCTATTATCTCCCCAGTACTGTGGTTAATGCATATGCTTAAGAAATATTTACTGGCTTAAGAAATATTTATTGGCTAAAATAATATTTATTGGACAAACAAAGGGTCACTCATTCATCCTATCTGAATTCATTCTACCTGGCATAACTGTTGTTTTCAGCAAGGTAGTTGGATTTAGTCCAATCTTTCCTAGCTTCTAAAGAATGACTTATGAACTCATGATGTTCCTCTTTTTTGTTTTACAGTCAACTTTGACCACTTTGAAATTTTGCGAGCCATTGGGAAAGGCAGTTTTGGGAAGGTGAGAACCACACAAATTAACCACTAGCAGGGTTATCTATGTGTCTCAGAGTAGAGAGTCCTAGATGTTCAGAATAATGAGTAATGAAGATCGCAGAAATGATCATCCAAAGATGTGTCTAGAGTGAATTTTATAAAATTGTCCCCACAGTTTGAAGATATCTGAGTCACTGCAGGCAGCTGCATATAGAGTACATCCTGTTCTCAAAATTACAGCCGAGCTGAATTCATCTAGCATTTGAAACTATTCAGGTGGTAAAGAAACCCCCCATGTTTGCACCATGTTTTTATTTCAAAAAAACTACCATGAAAAAGATCTTTATCTAGCCTAACTTTTTCATGGGCTGGAGTGATAGCACAGTGGGTAGGGCATTTGCCTTGCACGCAGTCAACATGGCCAGCCCGGGTTCAATTCCTCCGCCCCTCTTGGAGAGCCCAGCAAGCTACTGAGAGTATCTCGCCCACACGGCAAAGCCTGGCAAGCTACTCATGACGTATTCTATATGCCAAAAAACAGTAACAACAAGTCTCACAATGAAGACGTTACTGGGCCCGCTCAAGCAAATCGATGAACAACAGGGTGATAAGTGACAGTGAACTTTTTCATAATAATTTCTAGGTTCAAATCTTGATTATTAATTTTTTGATAGACACTTTCAGTATGATATTTTTAGAGTTCCTATTGAACTTGCATTTTAAAAATCATCTGATGGGGACCTGGAGTGACAGTACAGTGGGTAGGTCGCTTGCCTTGCATGTGGCTGACCTGGGTTCAATCCCCAGCCCACTAGTAAGTGATTCCTGAGTGCAGAGCTAGGAGTAACCCCTGAACATCACTGGAAGTGGCCCAAAAAGAATTAAAAAAAATCATCTCATGTCTTTTTTTGTTGGATATTATATGAGCATTTAAAAAAATTTATTTTTTTATAATACATTCAGTATTTCTCCAATGCTTACAGTGTTGTTTGATTTTATCACCCAGGTGGTTAGCAGAAGATCTTTTGCATGGTATTGTTCAACTTGATAGCTTAGCTATGCCCATTTCAGTCAATGAAGCAGAATAGGATGTTACCTGCTTTGTGAATATTCCTGACCAGTAGGGAGATGTTTTCTTCAAAATGTGGTCAAGACAAAATAAAATTGTAAAGAGCAGAAACAAGGCAGGTTGAAAAAGCAGAGAATCAAGCAACTCTCTGTAGGGAAAGGAAATGAATTGTCACCCTATATTCAGAGCCAAGTGGCACTTTAACCTTAAAGAATTTATGAATGATCAGGCACCCAAAGCCATGTGAAAACATAAGCTTTGTTCTGTGTCTTATTTCTTGGTCTGTGGTATCCCTGATCACTTTCCCATTCTGTTTTGCATTAGGTCTGCATTGTTCAGAAGAATGATACCAAGAAAATGTATGCCATGAAGTACATGAACAAACAGAAGTGTGTTGAGCGAAACGAAGTGAGAAATGTCTTCAAAGAACTGCAGATCATGCAGGGATTGGAGCATCCTTTCCTGGTTAATTTGTGGTAAGTGGTCCGGGTTCTAATGCATCTATGAATGCAAAATGAATCACCCCAATGCTATTATGTAAGTACACAACTTCTAGGCGAGTGTATACAAAATCCCCAGTAGGGACTTCCTTCAGGGCTTTTGTTCTCTTTCATTTCTGGGACTTTATAACAACAACAACAAAAATTGTTTTGTTTTCTTGTCACCCATAAATACTATTTTGGCATTGTCACAGTTCCACTGGTTCTAAATGTCAATTAGTTTTCAAGCACTGTAATGAAATAGGCTGCTAAGAACTGAGTTCAGGTGATTTTCAGAGCCTCCCCATGAATTGTGGGTTAGAGCTGTGGGTCTCATTAAGTACATGCATTACTGACTGACTTGAGGTTGACCGTTAGAACTGGTACAGTGTGCTTTTTCCTTAACATGATGGGCAAAAAAAGCTGGTTTCTTTTCAGCAGACTTCTTGGCTTAGAAAAAGATCAAATAGTTCTAACAGAGCTGGTCCAACTAGACTTCAAATGACTGTGATCAGATCTCAATGCCATTGTCACAATCTAAGGTTTAGAAAATGGGCATGGTGCACTCAGTGTCTATTGCTTCCTGCTCTTTTCTTGTTCATAGATTTTTTTTAAATGTGCTTCCCTCATATTTTAATGCATTCAGTATGTTAAGATCCAGTTCTTAGACATAATTCAGCGCGACTATTATTTAAACATGCATAGCAAGCAGTTCCCTAGAACTATCAAAGGCAAAAGAAGCCTTTATTTAGAGAGTACTAATGGAGAAATAATTGAAGTGTCTCTGCGTGTTTAGGGGGCATTCCTCTGGAGGAATCAGTGCGTAAAAACTGTCTCTCTCCATCTTTAATTAATCCAGTTCACTTAATGTACAATTTGCTCAAAGACTCTGTGCCACATTTGAAAAGGGGATGGCTCTGTTTGACTTGGAAATAGGTCGATTAAGGTTTATGCACTTCTCAAACACGGTAGAGTCTAATTTTGACTCAGACAGTGTATTTAATCCGTATCATAAAGTAGCCTATTCAAAAGACTGCTGTGGAAAGAGTTAAAATAATTCAGTTCTTTCTTCCATCCTTAGCAATCATCAAATTGCCTCCCCATGCCCCAAGAATGACAGGTGTTACAACTTTATAGCCTTTGTTTCAAGTTATATTTTCCTTTCTTCAAAAGTTCAACTAATTTCCTTCTTAAGAGTAGGAATCCTTCAGGATGATGTTCTTTGTATTTTGCCCTCTCTTGCTTGTCTCTCATTATATTGTGGGCAAAATTCATTCCAATTCTATCCACATTTTTTTAGAACATGGGTGTTAGGATACTTAAAGCTGGCCAACATTGCTAAACTTTTGCTAATTGCTAACTTGGTGTCATTTCAAAAAATGATCTGTTCACTGTGCATGCCCACCTGGTGATAATGGACCGTGTTTTCTATTGGAGAGGGCAGAGGGAAATTTCTCTCTACCTCTGTAGGTTCTACTAATTAAAATAAAGTAATGTCACCCAGATTAGCGGGAGAAAAATGCAATTAATTAAGCTTGCCTAGAAACCCCCATTGAGAATGAGGAATCTAACTATGGTAAAGGAAATAAGAGAAGGTTTATATTTGAGCTAAGGAATGGGAAAGGGGCCCCGGGGGTCCCAGGGAGAGCACTCACATGATGAGAAGAGAATGACTCATACAACAGAGACTTGATACTCTGCAATGCCATTTGCTTTGCTGTTATTCCTAGTAAAATTCTGAATTCTGGGAAAGACGTTCGATTTTCGTTCTTTTAGTTAGGATAGTGATATATTTTCTCTTAAGTCCAAGGCTTCTGCTAAAACCAGCCTGAAATAATCTGCACGCTAAAATGGCATGCTTTAGGAAGACTGTTTTGGAGCATTTTCACTGTTCTTCCTTTTTTTCTCATGGTGCATTGCAACGTGGAACAATGAACACCATGACTATTGAGAGAGGAAATGGAAGAGACCCTCCTTCCAATAAGTTTAGCACCACATCCCAAACTGGAAATTATCCAGAGAGACAGTTCCTAAAGGTAGAATAGAAAGCCTTGTCATCCAACCCTTGAGATTTCAATCTTCAAAAAGCAGATTTATTCCTTCCCATAAAGGAATATAGCATCATAAAATGTAAATGACTCTGCCCATAACTAGCGAGTATCTTACAATGCTTCTTGAAGTGTGACTGAATATAATTTTGTCATTATTAAATCACATTTTCATAAAAAGAAGTTAATATATGTAACGAGAGTATTTTATGGGTGACATAGGAATGTACTCTGTCCAGTGTTCAACATATTGGAAATGTCTTCAAAGTGGCATTTTCTCTTCCCTGCTTTATGAGATGGAGCATCTTGAGCTTACCCATGGCTAAGGGGTCAGAGTGGCTTTTGAAAGCAAATTTAGTCAAATAGTCACACCTAGTCAAGAGCCACATGAAAGTGTGTGTGAGTGCATGCATGTGTGTGTGCAGAAAGTTAGGGGCCTTCAACTCATTCTGTATAAAAGTATGTTGGTTTCATTTTGTTTTCTTCCCTTATTCAACAAATCAAAACAGTCTCTGGCTCTGTCCTCTGGGATCACTCCTGACACTGCTTAGGAGGAGACCTTATGTAGTGAGTTGGCTGCATGCAAGGCAAGTACCTAAACTGCTAGACTCTCTCTCAGCCTGCATTCTATATCATTTAATCAAGGTTTTGTGTCCTGGATTCCATGCATCTTTCTAGCCTCACTATTCCAGGAGCTGATTCCTTAAGAAACATGACATAGCATCAGTATTTGTGCTACCATTCCCTTTGCCTCCTCCACGCTCCTGGAACTCTGGCTAGCCCTTGACATTGCTTTTAGGAATCCTCTCAGCAGTGCTCACAATGGTTCTGCCTGCCGGGGATGTGTTAGGAAAATTCTAGTTTTCAGACTGAGGGAAAACAAATTGTTTTGCATTAATATTAACATATGTATGTGTGGATTGTAGATATGGATATACACATAATATTTGAGATATAAAAGATTTTTCCGCTCATTGCAATTTCAAAAACAAAAAAAAATCACATTAAAAAATAAAAGTGTTCCAATAATTCTATCATATCACCTTGCAACAACCATCCTACCATGTTGCTGTGTTACTTTCTTGTAAAATGGTTGCATTTGGGCACCTGGAGAGATAACGTAAAGGGCTGACACACGCTCTGCCTACAAAAGGCTTGGGTTCAGTCCCCAGCACTAAATGGTCTCCTAAGCACTGCCAGAAATGAGCTCGGAACACAGAACAAGAAGCAGACCCTGAGCACAGCTGGCTATGGCCTCCAAGTAAAGCAAAACAACAAGTGTTCTGGTTTTGATTATGCACTGGGCCCATGACATTGATATTTGGAGCGATAACACAGCGGTAGGGCGTTTGCCTTGCACGCAGCCAACATGGCCGACCCGAGTTCAATTCCCTCCGCCCCTCTCGGAGAGCCCGGCAAGCTACCGAGAGTATTCGATATGCCAGACACAGTAACAACAAAGTCTCCAATGGAGACGTTACTGGGCCCGCTCGAGCAAATCCACGAACAACGGGAGGGCCTTTACCTTACCTTTACCTAACATCACATAGGGAGACTTTCCAGGTGAAATACAGTATCCCATAGTTAAATCTGAATTTCAGATAAATCACCAGTTATTTTCTGTGTAGATCTCAACTATTACCTGGGACATGAATTTGTGTGTGTGTGTGTGTGTGTGTGTGTGTGTGTGTGTGTGTGTGTGTGTGTTTGAACACATTCAATATCCAATCGACTTTCTAATTTACATGGGCATCTTATGCTGTTTATTTGCTAGATGGGCAGCTCTATAAAGCCCCTGAATGGTAGGGAGCAGTAAGGTGATGTAGAGCCCCTCATCTGCCTGACAACACCGTGAACTACAGTAGGAGACCCACAGTGAGCTCAAGCCCAGGAATCCAAAAAGGGGTGGGGGGGATTGCAGGAAGGAAGCCGGAGAAGGAGGGCTGTGTGTGCCAGGGGCCTCTGGGAAGGAAGTTCGATGTGTGTGTGTGTGTGGGGGGGGGGGGGGGGGGCCGCCGCGTGTTCAGGGTAGAAGGATATCCTGAATTAACATTCGTTCCCTGGGGGGGAGGGGGGGCGCAGGTCCTGGCCCCACTCAGGAACAGAGCCGTCAGATGTAGGCCACATTTTAAAGTGAAGGCTGCCAGACAGGGCAGGCATCCAGAAAAAGCAAATAAAATTTCCCTGCTCCCCAGGGCTGCTAACAAAGCCCTGGCAACCCGCAGCCTGCAAACAAATAGGCCCCCGGTGCTGCCCATCACTGCCGGCTCCCCAGGTGGCCTTTGTTAATTGAGCTGCAGCCTGCAGCTGCACACCGCGCCCGCGCCCTCCCGCACCGGGCGCCTGTTCCCGCCAACACAAAGGGTCCGCATATGGCTGCAGGAAATTAGGAGGCGCGATTGTCTGTCTTTGAAGTGGAAAGGACCACCTGCACTGAGCATGAAAAGGGGGGAATCCTGTCAGAAGGCGGGACTCAACTCCCCCCGAGAGCTGAGGCCCTCGCAGCAGCCTCGTGTCTAAGTGCTCAGGAGTCTCAGAGTTGCGAGGACCCTTCAGAGCTCCACCCTAATCACCCCAGTCACCCCAGTCATCCTGGCTACCCAGTTTCGACTCTGGGGCTCGGAAATGTCATCTCACTTCGCAGCTAGCAGAACTCAGGAATCCTGACTTTAAGTTCCTGTTTTGCCCGGGTCCTCTTCACTGTCCTCTGAGACTTCTTGTTTTGGGTGGTTTTGTTTGGCGGCCACCCCCGGCTCTGTTCAGGGCTTCCTTCTGCCTCTGTGCTCTAGATTCATTACTGACATTGCTTAGAGGACCTGATGCAGGGCTGGGTATCAAACCCTCGTCAACCGCCGTCAGCCCCCGTCAAGGCAAGAGCCCTACCCACTGTAATATCCCTCTGGCCTCCCTACAACTTCTTGTGAGACTCCCTTGTGAAAGAGGAAAGGA